CAGAGTGCCGTCTATGTATGGAGGAGAATGAAACGGCATTACCAACGTACTCCTTAATTTTGCCAAGAGATTATATATACTGGGAGAAATATAACCATAGGCATATACAGAATATGCTATAGGCCGCAGTGGAGTGCCTGACATGGACCCACTCACGTTCAACCTAACCTAACCTACTTATCAAATATAATTTCAGGAACAAAAAGACCCACTGTGGATTGGATATTCAGTCGCTAAAATCGAAGTTGGAATGGAATAATACACGAATTATAGCCGTAGACTATGGTTATTCTCTCATGAAGAACATTCAGGGAACAACAAACAGAACTGAAAATATTATACTACTACCAGAAGTTCACCAGAATCTACCGCAGCCAAAGGGTTCAAGAAAACACAATTAGAACTGTACTATGTGTTAACGTAGGAGTCGTTCGCCATGATTGGCGTACCAATTATTGACGACCGGAACCAAATCGAAGGTATACTGTATCAGTATACTGATGGGACACCCGGTATATACCACCTAAGGTGAGTTCGTCACTATGTGCTTATATATGATGAGCTTCAATATGTTCCGACTGGGGATGTTGTTTCAAACAATTGTGATTGATTTCGATTAATAATAATCGAGATGATAATGTAATTCTTGAAATGTTGTACATTTGTTTCCATGTTGAATGGAGGAGTGTTAAAAAATAAAGTTTCTCTTGAATTTTTATGACCTCGATAAGGCGCTTCCATCGTTAGTCTCCCTTGCAAACTCGCTCATACTAATCTATTTTATGGACATTGAAACTTGTGAAGCACTTAAAGACAGACATTATTCATTAGTAATCAAGGAAATTGAAACTAATTCAGATTGATGTATTCGATGTTATTTTGTTGCATAGGGAAGTAATTATGACAAAACACACCTAGAAATCATGCCATCACAGTCGAACACGTAATACTGCCATAAAAAGATATATGAAGAACCCATTATTGGTGTTGAAAAGTACGGGCTCATCATTATTCTAGGATAATTTCGGTTTGAATTGTGCTTGTGCAGGAGTTGGGAATTGTTTGGAAAGTAGAAGAATGGCCACTGAAATAAAAATCCCAATTACCGGAATTTTGATGATCCATATATTATAGTGTGGGAATGCAGGATACCACCCTCTATAGTATAGGAAGCCATTGTGTCAAAGTCAATTTTTGTTAAACTACCCTGAAAAACCACCCCCAAATTGATTTTATACCCTCTATGCGTCCCAACCAAAATAACCCAACGTTACAATGTTGTTTATTCTTGATGACCTAGTACAGCCTATGTAGCTCCTAGGAACTAGACATCCTAAATGTTTTGACGTTTTTTGTATAGGTCGCGTGCACGAAGACCGACCCTGGAGGCAAAATATTGAAACACAACCTCATTCTTCTGTGAATTATTGAAACACAACCTCACTTTTTTTATTTGGTTACAGAGGAATCAAAAGCTTGAAATAGTTTTTCACAATATTTTGGCATACGAATCGTGTTTCTTGCGTTATTCATTAATTCAAGCATGCCTTCGCATTGTGCTGTAGTACAATGCACAAAAAATGCAGCAAGAGACTAGGGAATATGATTTTTCAGGTAAATAGTAATCTCACATAGTTAGCATTATGAAATGTTGTCATTCCTTATTAAAATTCCTTCTGCCTTCTGCCACTTCTGCAATACAAGCTAATGCTGCTAATAGATTGAAAATGTCTACAACACACACGATAGTCAGCATGTCAGAGCAGTCCTACCGATTGATTGCATGAATCCAATCTTCTTGCATTATTCTAGAAATTTCAGGTATATTTCTATTAGCTGATCCTATTGCAGAAGGAATTCCGATGGGAAATCAGAGAAATTACCAAATTTCAAAAATGAAAACTATGTGAGGTACTATAGTAGGTACTTACTTTTGAATCATAATGTACCATCCGGATTTCTTCATCTTCTGCTGCAGTTTTTGTGCATTTTACAACAGCACAATGTGATGGCATTAGCGAATTGATGAATAGCGAAAAAATACGATTCATATGCCAAAATAATTGTGGAAAACTATTTCGATCACTTGTAAACAAATATGTTTTGCCTCCAGGGTCAGTCATCTGACAGTTCTTGCACGCGACCTATATTAGAGTACGGGCACTAGACAAGCAGTGACAATCAAACATAACCACGACCGATTTTGGAGCAAATCATATGTTTTGCCAGACAAGGACAAGAATATGTTCTTCGTTTAGATAAAGGATCCTCGCATCTTCCTTCCTCCACAAGTCCTGGGATATATCCATATATCTTTCTCTGTCTATGCTTTTTGTATGAGAGTGCATAACGTCTCCTCGAGTAGGTAAAAGGGTACAATAAATTGATTAGCAAATTATTTCTTCTTGGAATATTGAATGATAAGGCTGAAGGACCTTAATGGAGGTCGGTATTAAGTTGGTATATACCATATATACCAACAAAATACATATACTATTCTTATGAAATATATGTAGGTATATAATATATACACTGTGTCCATAAAGTCACCCCCCCCCTGGTTAACTATTGAACGGATGGGATTTTTTTTTTTAATTTTTTTTTGCTTCAATGGTAGTTTCAGTGCTATATATTGTTTCAAAAAAAAAATATGTATCCTCCAAAATAGCGCCTGGGCGCCATTTTGGAAGATTTTTTTAAATGGAGTGGGGGGTCGGAAGATACCTCGATTGAAAGGTCTTTCGATTCTCTATACAACCTCAGAATCTCAGACGAAAATATTCATCTAAAACGAAATGGCGGATGATAACGTTTGAAATCTCACACCAGAATTCTTTCGACTAGATGGCTATTGAAGTGCTCGCATGTGATTTTCAAATCTCTATTGGCGTAAAGAAGAGTTCTCTATCCATGAAGATATCAATAGGAAGCCATTTTGAAGAGAATAACATGGTAGTCAATTATACCATTGCTCGATTGTCTTTCCAAATTCTGCAAAATTTTAGAAATATTTATTCAAAATAAAGAACAATGTTTATTCCACGTGACTACCATGTTATTCTCTTCAAAATGGCTTTCTATTGATATCTTCATAGATAGAGAACTCTTCTATACGCCAATAAAGATTTGAAGATCACATGCGAGCACTTTAATAGTCATCCAGCCGAAAGAATTCTGGTGTGAGATTTCAAACGTTATCATCCGCCATTTTGTTTTGGATGAATATTTTTGTCTGAGATTTTGAGGTTGTATAGAGAATCGAAAGACCTTTCAATCGAGGTATCTTTCGACCCCCCACTCCATTTAAAAAAATCTTCCAAAATGGCGCCCAGGCGCCATTTTGGAGGATACATATTTTTTTTTTGGAACAATATATAGCACTGAAACTACCATTGAAGCAAAAAATAATTGAAAAAAAAAATCCCATCCGTTCAATAGTTAACCAGGGGGGGGGGTGACTTTATGGACACAGTGTATACGTTCAGTTGAATATTTTTTTATCACAAAAGTTCAGAATGGGGTAAAAACTGATGAATTTCAACCAATGAAACATACTTGTATTTCTGGAACAATTTCACTTGTACAAGAGTGGTTGTTAATTGATAAATGAACAAATAATATGGCAACAATAACAGCTGATTTCATTTAGGATAAATAATGAAGGTTCTCCAAGACATACGGAAGTAGGTATACATGGACTTCAGCGCTTGACTTCTATAGAAGATATTGCTGTTGATTTTGTTTCAAATCTGAAATAATTTTTAGGTAGTAGTTCTGAATTTTGCTTACTCTGAGTTTTGTATCTGAATCTTTCTGCTTTAACTTATTTTCCAACTCTCTATTTTCTTCTACTATTTGTTTCCTGAATTCCTCACTGTCTTCCACTTGTAAACCTTGGATTTTGTAATATTCCTGCTCTAAAAATTCGATTCTCAAGTCTTCTTCTTTCAGAATATGTTCGAAATGAATTTTATTATCTGCAAGTTTTTCGTTTGTTTCTTGTTAAGGTCCTTTTCGATACTCGCTCAGTTTATGAATTGTGGGTTTGGCTCTCTCTCTCAATACGATCCTATTCTTCAACCTCAAATCTTCCGTTCTGAAGTATACCTGATAAAAATGCGTTGAAAAATGTTCTATATCCTACCAAGATATTTGAATACCTCGCAAATTTTGTGGAATGAACCTATTTTTCATGCTGGCCGCATCATATTCTGTTTTCATTTTTGTAGAATTACGTTATCCGCTGGAGTTCCAATAGAGTGAATTGATTTCCCGTCTTCTCATAGTTGGAAACTGCACAAACTTGCATATTTCTCCTAATTTCTCTCAATTTGTCGAACCTTCGAAATTTATGGTATGTACGTCCGTGTACTGTCAGTTCCCGCTTTCTCCATCAATTTATTTGTGGTTATGTCTGATTATCAGTGCTTGTCATAAAGCCTGTTCGTTTGTGTTTGCTCTACCTGCTGAACTTGATTTTTTTCTATGACTTTCTCTGTTAACATTATGCCATGAACAGAGACAACTATGGGAACAAAATCAACTTTAGTAAGTTTATCAACACAAACGAACAGACCTAGAGTGTCTACTCTAATATACAAAAAACGTCAAAACAGCAGTATCGATTAGGAACTCAGGAACTGAAAGTGTTGCCTAGCAACATACCAATGTTCGTGTCAGTAATAGAAACGTCAATTCAAGATCTAATTTTGGCATTGAAATGGACGAATAAAATAATGAATGACAGTATCAGGCGTACTTGAAGGAGAAAAAAAAAATGGAATGAAGACATTTGTGAGATTACGTTTATGTAGATCTGATCAATATTACTATCTCCTCGATGATTATTTCACACTTGTAAATGTCAGTTATGTGTACCCTAACCATCGACAATGAAGTGGTGCGTCGTCCTGCACCGCCGGTCCATATCACCCTTGGATAGGTCCGGTTCGACGCGAGGCGCTCACGTCGCGACGCCGGCACGACGCTTAGTTTGCGACCTGACGTCGCGACGCGAGCGAACTCTCGCCGTCCGTTCATCCGCGGGGTCGATCGACCGATCAGCGACAAGTTCTCGGGTAGTGACGTCGGTAAAAGAATTTTGAATTTTTAGAGAGAGGGGCTCTTTCGGACGAATTTTCATCAGAAAAAAGAGGTGAGCAGAGAAGTTTTTTTTTCGGCAACCTTCCGGGAAGTGCTCACTTCCCGGACGCATTCTCTTTGAGGAAGTAGCATTTTTCCGGCCTAGTCCGGTACTTCCCGGACTAGGCCAGGAAGTATCACATCGTTGTTGTCACTGTAACTATGAAAATCTTGGTAGATAATGTTCTGATCAATGCAGATCATAATTGAAGACATGAGAATGATAAGTGGATAACAACCACTTCTGGTGAAATTCACTTTTTATCCAATTTTCTTTAATAAAAAATTGCTCTTTCGTTGGGTATGAGAAGGAAACATGTAACCTTTTCCCATTCGCCAGGAGATGGCAGGAAGAGTTATCCGCTTTCAAATATGGACTGACCGTTGCAATGCCGTTGCCATGAGAAGCGGATGACAACCACACTTATCCAGTTATTATACTCAACGGGTTCAGTGTTTTGTGCATCCGAAAGATTTCATGAGATAATTCATTGTTTTCCTGAACGTGGACATTCGTGTTTTCCTTGTGATCCTTCTTTCGGACAAATTGGAATACTCAAAAGAAAAAGAGAATACCTTTCCATTCCAGAAGAATGGTGTTCACTTGTTGCAAATGCCTCAAAAAAATGCAGTAACTACCTGCATGCAAAATACATTTTTGAAACTTTTTTTTTTCGAATTTTGAAAAATGAGATAGCATCCGCCCTAATTTGAACCTTTGTCTATATGATGGCGTTCAAAAATGTACTATATGCCAAACTGTTTTCCCCGAGGTTTTCCCATAAAGCGTCATCAGGAGCCAGAGCGCTGTATTCATCATTTTTCCAGTCCTATTGTCCACTCTTAACTGCATCCAAAGACTGGTTGAGGAATATTGATAATCGAATATAAAACGTAGAGAACCATGATAATTGAGTTATCGACTCGAGTAGTTGATAGCTCTTCAACTCATAATGACAGTGAAGATTTCAAATAACAGATTACTTCACCAGCGTTCCGCCTATCACGTGACAGAACTGAACAGAACAAAACTCAAAAACGAGCTTCCCCAAAATTGTGACAAACATTAGTTTTGTATAGCTAGTGTATCACGTGACATGGGGGAAGCGGAAACCCAGCGCCAAATTGTATCTGACCAATCATGTGATGTTATTCCATCGTTTGGGTGGTATAAGAAATCTCTCAACTGGCATCCATCCAAAGGAAACCATAAATAACATTCAACATAATATGTTCCAAACCCAACAAGATTCACTGACAATTTGTTATGGTTGCCTTTGCAAGGACACAAAGCAATAAACCCAGATCCTTTTCAGTATGTGTTTGAAATGGTTTGAATAAAGAAAACTATTCGTACCCCGATCAGATGGACCGAGCTAGTCTTGTCCGTTTTACAAAAATGATATCGGGTTGTTGGAAAGAAATCATAGTAAAAAAACCAACAACTATATCTTTCGATACCATGTCCATATTCATCTTATCTATAAGTATTCTGGTCGCAACATATCAAAACTAAATCTATTAAAATTCATTTATTGCGGTTATTATGGTAAATTGAGGGCTTTAGAGACCCGTGCTTTATACCTACTCGTTACAAAAGGGTTGTAAACTTTTATTTCGGTTCGGCTCTCGATTTCGATGAACTGTGAAATATACTGCGCGATGTAATTTTAACCAGCTTAGGATTGATTCGATATTCTAATGTATGAAAAACGCTATTCATAGTAGCTTTCTTACAAGTCCTTGGTGCTAAATAGGGTCGAATGCCTTCGTATATCCTATGGCACAACTAGAGATTCCCCATGTCGCTCTTTTATGAAGGCATGGATCACAAAATTTGTTGATGGAACTGGATCTGTAAGCATAAATACACAATTCTCACTAAAATACATATATTCACGGAAAAAAAGGAATTGTTGAATCAAGCAAAATTTAATTGAATGGAGCAAATAAAAGTGTCATAAATGCACGACAAAATATATTCTTGAAATGAGTAAATCTATATCTTGTTCCAGAGCTAATTTGAAGCTTGAATCAAGTAGATATGTCTTGCATGAACTCTGGATCTTCTTCAATCAAGCACATCCATGAATTGTTTATGGAGATATTGAATTGGCTCAAACAAACATTTTGTTCGATTCAAGATATTGATTCAATCAAATATTCAGTTGATTCAACGAAATATTTGGTTGATTCAAAGAAATATTTGGTTGAGTCAATGAAATATTTGGTTGATTCAATGAAATATTTGGTTAATTCAATGAAATATTTTGTTGAACCAAATTCGATTCGGTAATTTTCTGAAATTTCACATCAATAGAATAAAGAAAACTGGGAAACTAGTCGACTCCTAGCATAGATCTTTAATCTTTACTTCTCTTCAGCTGATGGAAAACTATTTCGGATTGCTAATCATCCTAAGTTCGATTTATCCAGCTGATATTTCAAACACGAAGAATCAGGCGTCACGTATATAATGAACTCGAGGCAGGCATAGACGAGGCGAAAAGATCGCCATCTAGAGGCGAAAATATAAGTTGATGTAGAATGAACAAAATATTCCATTGATAATACATATTTCATTCAAGCAAATGATCCGATCGAAACGAGTTCATTGATACATCGGAATAAGAAAACTTGTTGTTTTAAAGATATATTTTCATCAAAATGATCATTGTTTGATCAAATCAACAAAATGTTTATAGTTGTATCAACATCGACATTATTTTGGATCGACATAATTTGTTTTTGAAGAAACCATATATTTTGTTGATGGAATTGATATTATACTGTTGATTCAATTAGACTACATTCTTGATTTGAACAAGCTACTTCCATGGAATAATCCTGTATCTGGTTGATTCAACAAAAAATTGCTCAGTCAAGCATAAATAATTTGTTGATGCAACAAATCCTTTTTTTCCGTGTTGCTATGGCAATTCGATTGGTTTTAAATTACTGGTGTAGAATTTTCCAGGAAAATCAAAGTTCTACTCATGATACGACTTTTTATGATTTTTCAAATAACCTGCAAGATAATTGAACCGTTCCCTTGTATAAGGCAACCGAAATGTTTATGGCTCGTTGGTTCAGTTTTCATGGCAGGAAAATTCGCCAAGCGCCGTAATAAAAAATTTCCATATTTCTTGATTAATCTCCGGTCTTGTCTATACGAATTCCAGGGGCGTTTTGACAGTGAGAGATGCCCTCTTAATTTCGCGCTGCTCCTACGCTCTACCAGCGCGAGTCGCGAATTTTTCCAGATATATGCATACGATTTATTAGAATTTGCATTTTGAGGATTTGCGTGTCTGAGCCTCACACATATTCATGACTTCATGGGGAGAAACTCCGATTATGGGTCGTATGATGAACGCATATGAACGAAGCGATACAAGAGACAAGCCCTAATAAATCATATTATACCGTTGAAAACACTACATAGGGAAAGTATTCGGTCATACTCGGGGCTAGCAGGATGGTGTTTTCGTTTTCATAGGCGGCATAGCTCGCTTTCTTCCTCCTATATCAATTAGCGATATCGAATGAATCTTTGGTAGAAGTCCATATTGCTCAAATGGAGTGAAATTTTTTAAAGGAAGAAAGGAATGCTCGAAGTCATTTACACAAATTTCACTGGTGTTACACAATCAGAAAGGCCATGTTTTGGTCTTATGAAAGACCATCTTCAGCCCAATTAAAAGTTCTACAATACAAAAAGAATGATGTGAAACTATTACATTATTTGTTTTTGATTTACTTGGAGTCGACAAAGTGGGATGCTACTAGCTGTACAATTGTTGCCAATGCCCACAGTCGAAAAATCGAATTCATGAAGACTTAAACTGGTTATTCCCAATAAATAAATTGTGAAAATTTCATACACCAAAATGGTATATGAAGGTAATTGCCAAACTGATCCCAAGTGTGCCAGATCGATAGAATCAGGCGGTCTTCAGGGAGAATCTGAGAATGGAATGATAAAGAGGGTGTTCCATTGAAAAAATCAAAGTTGTTGCTAATTTTCAATATAAGCGGCAATGTCGAAACGCTGAGAATATTTTAGGTCGATGAAACACAACTAATTATCCAAGGCACCACCGTGAATCACCCTGTGTAGAACTTTACTGTATTATTTATTTTGTAGTAACTATACTGATATAAATCTACGAAGTTTTTGCTACTTTATTCATCACTTCTGATAATTGAGTGCTCATATTTGCGAATGATTTTGGTAATTTCCAGCTAAAAAATACTGAATTCCACTCTTGGGTAGGAAAGTTGTCACCCATACCTGGGTAGTTTTTTTCTTCGAACGTCAAAAAAAGAAGCTTTAAATTTTTAGATGACTCAGTACGCACTTATGAACACTATTACCATCTCATCTCCCCTTTTGAGTATCAAATAATCTCGATTGTCGACAAAACATTATAGTCATTCAAGCAATTACAGTGATTAAGCTTGCGTAATCAATGTTATAATAGACGGGAGCGCCGGCAATTTAATTATAATGGGCCATTCCTAAAATTATTATTTTCATCTCCATAAAAAATCGATTGTCAACGGTGGGGAGTGGCCCCAAATTCAATTTATTCTGATGTTCGTCAAATGTACTACATACAATTTTACTAATTACAGCTCAGGAAGTTTCAGTAACGATTCAGTTCTTTGTTTTCAATATACATGGTGTGAATAAATACGAAGTACAAGTACGAAAAATTCCAGGAGGTGATATTTTGTCATATTCTAGGAGATAAAGTTCATATTATGAACATGTGTTCGTTATCGAGTTACAGTATGTTGAAATTGGAAGTATTCATCATTGTTTTTCATGACCCTCCTATGAGTTTCCATGCTTGCGAAATTTGGTCTGGTAGTTATCGGTAGGTGACTGACGAAGTCTTGAAGTTTCAGACTGATTCTTTCTATTGGTTTATTGAGGAAACTCAATAGGTGTCTAAAATTTCCATTGTCATTCTCAAAGTTATCAAGTTACATTGAAGTTGGGAAGAA